TCCCTGTTGATCCACCTGTCCCCAGACTGCAGCAGCTGGAACAGGAGGTGGTGGGAGGAGAGCAGGCCAGGAACAAAGACTTGCAGCAGAGACACAGGCAGAGGAAGAACCTGGCTGACCAGAGAAAAGTCCATCTTATCAGCGCTTTGTCACAGAACATTGAGGACAGTGAACATGTACTGTTAAATGTCTACAACTCCATCCAGGAGGAAGTCCACGCCAAAAGCCAAATGCTGGTCAAGGTCCAGGGAAAGGTGGGTCACAGCTACAGTACAGTAGGACAAATATTAAAGTTTGTATGGGAACTGCAATGGGTTTGGAGCAAAGTTCAACAACTGGGTTCAGGACGTGCAGTACGAAATACCACAGATTTAACTTCAACGTCCCATGACATGCTTTTCCGGTTATTACCCGTCCCATTGTGTGTTGTGAAGGTTTTTCTGCATGTAAACGGTCTGCAGAGTCACAAACCCTCAAAGTACACCCTGTAGCGAGTAAAACTCTAACACAGAAAAGACCTGTCTATGCTGCCCCAGAACGCCTCGTTGGAGATTTCTCTTTTTCCATTTTTTTCTTCCTGGTCATAGTGACGTAACGGCTTGGACCAATCCGCGGAGCTCCTCACACACACACACACACGCACACACACACACACACACACACACACACACACACACACACACACACACACACACACACACACACACACACACACACACACACACACACACACACACACACACACAAGCCTTATCTTTTCTCAGCCACGGCTCCGCGGATCTCCGCACTGTGAGTGGGTGTGTGCTCAGGCTGAGTTTCGCGGTGTCACTCGCAGACCCCACGCAGCAACCAGGAAATGACACCAGTAATACGTCCCGCCAACACGGCACCCAAGCAGCATTCTCATCTGTTTGTCATTACTGGTGTCATTTTCTGGTTGCTAACAAACACCATTGTAAAACATAATCACTGATGTTCCGCTGTAACGGTGGTTGACTCATCAGAACAGAGTGGGCAAGCTGACCAATCAGAGCACAGCGGGCTCATAGGGAGGGGGGGGGGGGGGGGGCAGGAGCTCCAACAAGCCGTGTAGGACAGAGAGTGAATACACATACTATACAGAGAAGCTGTATGAGAAACCAATGTGAGTTTGGAACATTGAACAATGTAAATCTATTCTAGTAGACCTCAACAATGGAATTATGATCAGTAGAAATGGCCATGACATGGGACCTTTAACACCAAAAATGAATATATAATATATGAATAAATTATATACCTAGTAATTTTTGGGGATAAAAAAGGAATATATCAATATTCAAAAAATAATACAACTCTATCTTATAGTAGCCCTATAATGTTCATTTTCAATTGTATTTTGTGCCTTCACATGTTTCCATGCTTTAATGTTCAAAAAGCTCTTTATTTTTCTCACACTGCCTGTGCTGCAGCACCTCCTTTCACCCTCCGTCTGAAACCAGAGCCCAGTCTGCTCTGATTGGTCAGCTGGCCGGCTTTGTTGTGATTGGTCAACCGCTTAGAGATGTTCACGTACAATGTGTTTGAGCGCTAACAAATAGAAGCGCAAGTGTTACGTAGTGACGTCACTATGTCTCTGAAGTATACTTAGCCCAATGGAGGCGTTTAGGCAGGGGGAGGGAACTTAGCCTTTGCAGTCATTTACATGCTCCCAAACCTATAACACACAGGAAAGGGAAAACCCCCAAAAGCACAATATGGATCCTGTAGCTCAGCCCTTTTGGTGTCACTTCTTCTACTTAAGTAAAGCATCTGAGTGTTTTCCCCCCACTGGTGACAGCTGAAAGGAGCCAGACTGGAGATCCGGGACCTGCAGGCGGAGTTCGAGGTGGAGCGGGATGACTACCTGGCAACCATCCGGCGGCTGGAGAGGGAGGGCCTGCTTCTGCACAGCCTGCTGGAGCGCATGGTGCCGCTGGTGCGCCGCGACTGCAACTACAGCAACCTGGACCGCCTGAAGAAGGAAGCTGTGTGGGAGGAGGACAGCGCCACCTGGAGGCTGCCGGAGGTGACGGTTCAGAAAACAACACTGCCTTCAGGTGCACAATGGCATATTGGAGTGAAATGTGTGTCAGTTTTAGTAATGATGTAGGGCTATAACCCTATGTGTTCTGCAGATTACTATGCTCATACAGGAAAACATTCCTGCCTACAATTTAATATTCCATTCCTTACAATGTACAATGAAAGTATAAAGTACTTCTTATCTTTATCTTATCTTAAATATTATCTTGCTTTCTTTCTCCCTCACAGCAGGGGCTCCGAAAGTTTCAGCTGGCAGAGGTCCAGCTGCTGATACTGGAGAGCCCTTCATGGTGCGTTCATGTTCCACGCATCATCCAACACACACCTAACACTGTCACAGAGCCTTAACCCTGTTGTGTTTTTAGCAGATGGAGGAGGACAGGTACAAGGAGATGCTGGCCCGCAGTGACAGTGAGAACATCGCCAGCAGCTACTTCAAATCAAAGAGAGCGAGCCAACTGCTGGGACGTGCAGCTACCAAGGGACACGGTAGGGACAGGACAAGCACACACACACATTTACTAATGAGATGCTACGGTTTAGTTGGCTAGTTAGCTTAGTTTAACATGGTGCTCTCACTGTGGTATATCTTTTTTTAGGGATTCTGAACTGTATGCAGACCAATATCATAAAAACAATGGTACAAAATGAATCATGATTAAATTGTAGAAGATCAGAAATACTTACATTTTACTTTTTAATTCGAAAAAGAAGACACACTTGGGACACCAATATCTTACCTGGTAGAACTGGCGTCTACCCTATCTACAATAAAATGGCCATACAAATAATATAGAAAAATAAATAAACGACACATTCAACGAATAATTTGCTAAATATTAATCTCAAGTGATTCAAGATTCAAAGGTTTTATTATCATATGCACAGTAGCTACAGTGTAGTTATGGCAATGAACATCTTAGGTACCGAGCTCCGCCAACTAGGCAACATATTATATAAAGGACATCAGACAACAGAATAACAATAATAATAATAATAATACAAAAATAAGTACGATACATTTGAATAAAATCGTGCAGTTCAAAGAAACAGAATGTAAGGTTAAATATTGTACAGTGAAATACAATTAACTATAACTGTTAAGATAATAAATTAAATACATTTTGATTCAGTGGTACGAATGTATGCAGCATTCAAGTAACGCTAAAGCTATTTCATATTTAGGTGTTTATGCTCATGTTGGTTTTACCCATCTGATGGAGCTCTCTCTCCTACAGCGGTCCACTCTCCCCCCCCGGCTAACGGGTCGGCCCACCTCACAGTGAGCGGCTCCACCATGAGCTCCCCTGTGGGCTCAGACTCTGTGTTCCCGCGCCCCTTCCGCCTGGAGTCTCTGGGAGTCCTTGTGCCCAATGGTAGAGTGAAACGCAAGAAAAGTAAATCCCACATCCATAACGAGGGGATTTAAAATAACATCCCTTAGGTTCTTAAATACTTAAACACATCTCACTGTCATCTGTTTTTTTGAATATATACCCTGTTATTGGTCACATACATTATACATTGTATTATTTGAAGTCTAGTGCCCACCAGAATGCACACAGCCAACACTGTTTCTGGACACTTTAAATTCAGTTGTCATGTGTTTCGAAAATATTTTCAATTGTTATTTTGAGAAAAAAATACTACCTACATTCTGAAACTACCATTGAACTGTTTTCACTGTACCTAAACTGTGAAACTCTAGCTACCATAATATTTCATTTATATTGTATTTGGCTATTGCTGATTGTAAACCACAATTAAACCTGTTCTTTATCTAACTTCCAACATCTTGCTGCTAAATATATAAATTAAACAAATGATTCCACCACTTTATGGCACGTTTCTTTTTCCTTTTTTAGACATGGGTTGTTGAGTGTGTTACACAAATTAGATCCGAATCTGAGTTTGTGTTGTTGCAGCTACAGATGACTCCACCGTCACAATTAGGTCAGGGGGGGCTGTTGTCATGGCAGCAGCGTGTACAGGTAGTCCAAGCTTAACTCATGTTACTTATGACCTCTGGGGTCAGCGTAGTGGATTATTATTAGTGGATTGCTTAAGGATAATAGAGACAAGAGAGCTCTTTTTATTCTGTAGGCAATGTCAAAAGGTTGCATGGATTTAGTTTTAATACTGGATTATGATTTGAGAATATCCTATGATCAAGTATCCTGTTGTTTTAGTTTTTTGTTTGTTTTGCTAACACAGCAACAGCTCAACGCCGTAGTAGCATTTGTATCTCTACTGATGAATCAATCATTTCCGCAGCTCACTTTTCTGTCCCGGTATCCTATTTCCGAACGTGGCCATGGCCTGATTTCTTCACCCATTGTTTAATATTAGTTGACCGGCAGAGAGCCGTGTCAGTTTCAAAATTTGACACCCTTTGTTTGCCTGCGCGCAGACATACTATACACACATTCTGGGCTATTAGGCCAGCTCCTGTCCTGACCGAGAGATAACACTTCAGAAGCCAACTGTAATTGTCTCTCACAATAATCAACCACACATTAATTTAAGACTGTTGCGTAACCAATGCCTGGCCATTTAGATAAGTCAGTGGTGGGAATTAGAAGTCTTACATGGAAGGGATAGTGAGAAAACAGAAAGGAAGACACCGGTGTGCTAAGAGGTGGGGCTCAGGATAATCGGATAATGGAAGATCAGCTGAGCAGGCTTTCTCGTTGCTCGAGTGGCGTGTAAGATGAGTAGCGTGACTGTAAGTGGAGCGCTGGATGAGGCAGGCACGTAAAGCCCTGTGCAGGTTTACAGGGATGATAGTTGGACTGAATCAAAGACCCTTTGTCTCTCTGTGCAGCTGTACCTGCAGGATGTTATTCAGCAGCGCAGTCTGAAACGAAACTAAGTTAATCACATTTAAATCACAACATGTATAAAAGATGTGAGGTTAAAGATAACAATACACAGTATTTAACATGCAGATGTCTTTATTTTCACAGGTATTCATGAAAATGGTAAAAATGACATTATCACTCTTTTTAATTCTGGTTGAGCTCATCCAGTATTTAGACAATTAAGGCAGCGGCTTGGACACAGTCTGTCACATTAAAAAACAACTACACCATACATCCTGTAAAAGTAGTAGCAAAAACAAATCCGGGGCTTGATACATAGGATGTACCGCTGATGCGTTTTGAAGATTAGAGAATACAGAAAAATCAACCCAAAACATTTTCCAAACCTTTTTTAATTTTTATTATAAAGATCTTTAAGATTTTGCTCCAATGAATGTTCTCAACAATCTACTTATAGGCACAACTGGGATTTGTAAAACAATCAGAAATGTAAAAAATCTGTTGATTTGGGTCGATGTTTACTTTTAAGTGTTTTTATGTGCAAAATAGGTTACCTGCAATATTTATATTTGTATTCTCTTGGTAAATCAGAATAAATACTTGTTTACAGCCATACATTTGTGTGTGCATACTGTATGGAAATGAGTATTTAACCAACCATTCATGTGCAATAGATTAGGTGTGGGTCTTGAAAAATCATATTTAACTGAAATTTGTTTAAAAAAACACAATAAGATATCTGATTAGATGGCGTTACATCAACATACCATTTAATCAACACGTAGAACCTTAAGAACTTGAAGAGTTTAAACTGCTTTTTATAGATGAAATCTACAAAAGATCCATAATCGAGAAAAAAACGACCCTCATGTACCTCAATCCAGTCCCCTGTATTGCAAACTATATTCAAAGGTGTGATCTTGCCCTGTAAACTCTCACTCTTCTTCATCCTCTAATGCTTGACTCTGCCAAAGCACCAAGTGCCAAGTTTCCACTCAATGCTCTAATCTCTTAAAGCTGGTGGTACTCTTGAACTCTGCGCACTGCTTTTACTCAGGCACTCTTCTGCTGTTTACCTGATTCAGTCTTTGAGCAGTCCAAGCTTTCTGAGTGCTTCCTTTCGATCAGCTCCCATCCCAGGCACCACCATCACCGTATATCCCACTGAGTTTGGGGGTTTGTGGGGTACAGGCTGTGCGTTTTCTGCATTTCTGTGTTGGTCTCGTGTAGCAGCGCGCTCTAGGCTAGCTGCCTTCACTCCGTTGGATGGAGCGGAATGTGACGCGGACGCAGGCAGCTGGTCCCGTCTGGAGCAGAGATGGAAGCTGGCACTGCTCTGCAGAGCCTTGTTCTTCTTCAACGACGGGCTTCTTGATGGGTTAGCATTAGATGTACCTCTTGAGAATCTGTTGGTCGTCGGGTCCAGAGAGGAGGGAGATTTAGTGGGAGGCCGTGGAGCTACTGTCTCATTTTTGGGCTGTTCGTCTTTCAGGAGACCGAGCTTCTCCAAAGCCTCCAGTCTTACAACCTTGGGGTCTTTCGCATTCTTTATATTGTACGAAACATCTTCTGCATTTGGGGTTTTAACAGATGTTTTGGCTGTTATCTGTTTGGGTTTCGGGGCCACAACTGGAGGGAATGTCTTGGACTTAAAAGCCTCCGAGTTAAATCTGTCAGATCTTGGTAGATTTCCAAAGTGTGGGCCTTCCTCTGTGACAGGAAGGTGCTTGTTCAAGTCTATTGTATGATCAATCGTGGGACATAGAGGCGTCTTCTTTGTTGAGGCACTCCTCCGCAGATAAACCAGTGCGTCGTAGGACAGGGGGCCTCTGGGTAAACCTTCAGTCAAATCCCTGGGTTTGGTGGCAGGAGGTATTCCAACATTAGCATCGAAAGATACATGGTGGTTAACAGGTTTCGGCTTGTGTTTGTGATCAGGTTTGTTGCTTGAAGGAGGGAACTGAGATTTAGAGCTCAGGTTTTTGTCAGGAGAGAAACCTGCCTTTGCATTTGGTATGGAACATGGAGAGCTGCTAGCTATAACAAATGGTGTAGGAACCAGGTAGCTGTGCATGGGTTTGGTGGCAGCATTTTCCGAAAAGTCTTGTTTCTGCAAACCTAAAAGACAAACACTTGTTGGTCAATAGAAAGTATTTCATTGAGAACATTTAAGGTAATTCTGCATTTGGGCCTTGAGATGAACTCACTGTTGAGCTTGGTTTTGCTCATGGAAGCCGACAGGTCAGCCAGTTTGGAGACCAGGTTGCCGGCGCTGGGCAGTTGGTCAGGCTCATCATTAGACAGCCCACTATCCTCCTCAGTATCCAGAGAATCAATAGTCTCCTCCAGAAACATGAGGCAGGCCTTCTCCTCAGCAGAGAGGTGCTCCAGACTATCATCACTCTGCAATGCATCAAAGAGGACTTTCCTTTTGACAACACATCCATAATGAGATATCACACTAAATCTGAGAAATTGTCAAACTGAAGAATTGAGATGTGACACCCTTTTTTATCGGAACAATCCTTGACTTTTAAATACACACATCTATGAAGACACCTAAAAGTACCCATGTTGCTTTGCATAAGGAGTTGTAGTAGAGCTAATCTTTTTCTTAGATGCAAGAGATGAAGGTTAGAAACTTACAAAGATAGAGTTGGCGCTGACAACGCTGTCGCAGCTGCCGGCGCTGTCCATGCTGGTCTCCAGTCCAATGCCACCTGGCCAGGTATCGCTTTTAGGCATCTTTAGTGCCCCAATGTATCCAAGGTTAGTGGCAAAGGTTGTTGCGTTTCACTCTGTTAAAAAAGAAAATACATTGTGAGTTAAATTAAAAACAGTTTCTCAAAAACCTTGGCATGGTAAAATGGATGAATATGTTATTTGATAAGTAACTTCTATTTAATAGATCATTCTAGTCGTGCCTATTTCAGTCACATTCTTTCTTTTTGTGTCTGTGTACCCTATCTCCCAACACATTGGGAATTCTCTTTCGAATACTTTCCTATTGCATTCTCTTGCAGTACCTTTGCATTCAATCTCTCGCCATATTGTTGGTCTATCCACATTTTCTGTAACCTAGTGCTAACCTTGTGCAGCAATTTCTAATCAGTATTAAAGAATACCCAGTTTACAAATAACTAATGTGTGTTCCAACACATCCTCACTCCCAGGTCGGCCTATGTTGACGTTATGTCAAGTTCCCTGTCGGCTTTTTCCAACGCAAGGGGGGGGGGCCTTAGCGTCCATTTTCAACGCAAGGGGGGGGCCCTTAGCGTCCATTTTCAGCTTTCCGGGATGTCCATATGCTTCTATAGACGCTCATGGAAGCACGGCATTCGTTTGTGTCGGCTGCCCTTAAAGGCAATGTGAGCGTCCATTCTCATTGGATAACGGAGAATTGTACACCCGGAAGTAAGTATTCCCCTTACTGTCGATTGATTTTACAGTGATATCTGCACTACTCATCGACTAAAAAACACCATATTATCCTTGTTAATTACACAACATTGATTGGTTTAAATTGTGTGCAATGCTTTTGTATTTTTCCCCTTCGATTCGGAGAAACAAATGTTTTTTCTGAGTAAAGGACGGCAGAAGACACTACACTACCCAGAATCCCCAGCTATCGTTTGGACTACACCATGTGCTCTGTTTGACAAACCCCGTGATAGTCCTCAAGCTCTGTGATTGGAGAGTGTGCTCCGAGGGTTACGCCGAGCCTCGAACAGCACTTGAAATGGGATGGAACCACGCAGACTGTCCAAAACTGGATTTGAACGGGTCCACCGCGTCCCCCCTCCCCCACCCTGTCCCCAGAACTACAAATGCTGGCTATTCTGTTTCGCAACATGTTCTGTATCTATGGCACGTCTCTACTGGGAGTTGTAGTTTTAAAAGACGTTTTCGTATTTCCCATAATAAGAAGTTGCCAGTATTAAACTGTGTACATCCCTGGAGGTTTAGGGGATAGGAAACACTCACATTTAAAACATATAATTAATAAATGGGTGAAAATTGCTTGTGCCCATAATGGGCAGCATTAATATATATATACACACATGCCAGCTAAGGTCAGAAGAGCTTTATTTAACAGCTGGTCTTATGTTTGTGACCCCTGTTGTTAATTGATAACATTACATTACATTACATTACATTAATTGATAAGCCTGAAACATGCACTTGTTAAGGTTCAGAGGCACATTTTGCAAATATGGCAGTATAGCCATCGATCAGCTTAAGATAAGATATACTTTATTGATCTCAAGTTGGAACATTTGCGTTACATCAGCATGTGTAACAGTTAAATATGCAGTGGTGTTTATTTGTAAATAATTTAGTATAATCACACAAATTCTGTGTTTTATATTCAACAATTCTGTGTTCTTTATTTATTGATTGTTCAATACCTGACAAGGCCGGAGATGAAATATCTACATACATCTTATAAGAGTATAATACATTATGTATAATATCAGTTAAAATAAGTGCTTCAACATAGTTAACATTGCTGGAGGTACGCACAAATATTGATAGATGTCTTGTAATGCACTATTGAGGAACCTGCGACCCAAGTTTTTCATTCAATGCATACACCATAGTTGTGTAGGCCTATATGATATGTCAATAAACCTTAGAAAATCTTGAAATCTTGAAAGGGATGTGCAAAATAGTCATTATATACAGTCTTTAATGGACTATTAGTAGAGAATAACGAGTAATTAATATACTTTATAGGGATCCTATTAATATCTAATGATAAAAATAATGAAATTCAATAACATGCTTTAACCACTAGGTGTCCCTTTATATCAGCTGTGCACCTTTATGGTGTAAATACAGCCTATCTACCAATTGGATCAAATATAAAAGTCAGCCGAATTAGTGTTGATACTGCAAGGAGACGTATTGTGTGAAAAGAAATGTAAGATGTTGTTTAATGGCTGATATATTTATGATCCACGTCACGTTTTCAGTTCCTCATGTTTGTCTAGAAGTCTTCTCATCAGGGCTCTATAAATACAGAACTACGGCAGATATGTAATATTTAATGCAGCCGAACCGTGTATTACAATGCCGTTATGTGATGACTTCCAAAGAGAAAAGCAAGCACACTCGGAATAAAGTATTATTGTATTTGTTTTCAATGTTTTCGGTCTGTTTCCGTTATTTGTTCATGACGATGTGCTGTGAGATGTGAGACTGGAATTATACAGGGGAAAATAACGTAGGCTATCTTTAGATGCGGATTTTGTTAAACTAATATGTTTTCGCTGTGGACCAACACTATACATTGACGGGGAAGGGGGTAGCAATAAAGATAACACCATTAAACAGTTAAACAACATAACAGAAATAATATCGATAGCAGCGTCCCTAGCAACCACCTTGGTAACAATGAAAACGTTATGGACGCAATTTCCTGAAGTAATCTTCGTAATAACTAGCAAACTAAAGATCATGTACATCCACTGCACACATAATCTGAAATAACAACTCATATTTCTCGCATCAAATGACATCAAAACGCATTTTAATGGCCAAACTAACTTTAAAATAGGCATTTTCCATCGAGAATAAAACGAAGTTCGGCCATGTTTTTTTTTTCTTCAGGGAGAAATTTGAAGATCACGTGACGTCAAACAGAGCACATGGTGTAGTCCAAACGATAGCTGGGGATTCTGGGTAGTGTAGTGTCTTCTGCCATCCTTTACTCCGAAAACATATTTGTTTCTCCGAATCGAAGGGGAAAAATACAAAAGCATTGCATACAATTTAAACCAATCAATGTTGTGTAATTAACAAGGATAATCTGGTGTTTTTTAGTCGATGAGTAGTGCAGATATCACTGTAAAATCAATCGACAGTAAGGGGAATACTTACTTCCGGGTGTACAATTATCCGTTATCCAATGAGAATGGACGCTCACATTGCCTTTAAGGGCAGCCGACACAAACGAATGCCGTGCTTCCATGAGCGTCTATAGAAGCATATGGACATCCCGGAAAGCTGAAAATGGACGCGAAGGGCCCCCCCCTTGCGTTGAAAATGGACGCTAAGGCCCCCCCCCTTGCGTTGGAAAAAGCCGACAGGGAACTTGACATAACGTCAACATAGGCCGACCTGGGAGTGAGGATGTGTTGGTGCAACCTACAGGCAGAAAACACACTGGTGTGATGTAATGAAGGGTTGTCTATAAACATGTACGTAATTACACACTTACATGGTCTAATTAAATTCTTTAGACACATTTACTTTGACTTTTAAATGGAACCTATTAGCAGTAAGTACCAATACGTTGGTTCTTGCCTTGGAGAAATTACAAGAGCCCTACAATGTCCAGACCTCTAAAGAACAGTAACGATAAAAAGAACAGAAGTTTACCCTTAATACTGGTTCAAAACTTCATGATGCCAGATGTGTAGTGTAAAAACTCTAAGGGGCCCAGGATACAATTATTGATCACATCGTCTGACATATTGTCAAAGCACCATTTAGTAACATTCAGTATTTCTTTCACTGACTATTTTTTATACTCCAGACCTTTGACCACATCTGATGTGATGTAACTGCCATGTGAAATTTGATTTGTAAGTGTAAAGGAATGTTGGCTTCCTCTGTTATGATTAAATAATGGACAATACAATATGCACAGGCCTTGGTTAACAATATTCGGCTTGGAGCCAGGTCAGCTGTACATTTGATCCCACAGACGCTTTAGATTTGGCTGATGTTTAATACTTGAGAATTCCATGCAAACAGTGTCAAACCCTAACCTGAAGTTATGTCAAACACGATTACAATTATTCCTTGATTACTTTAATATTATTAACATAAACTGTAAATGTGGGGTGCATTGTGGTTGCGCAAGAATCTGATATAATAATCCAGACCTCGTTCGTTTGCCAGATGGCTAGTGTGAGTAACGGCTGTACATCAAATCGCTATTAAGAACTGTTTTTTTTGTGTGTTTTATTTTATTTTGCGGGTCTCCCCACTATGGAATGCCATTTAAGCCAATATTAAATAAATAAATATATACATAAATAATTAAATAAATACATATATATATAAATATGCCTATGAAATAAATTATGTACATTTAAATACACATTTATTTATTTCATTGGACTTTTATTTCATAATGACACATTTATTTAATTCAAGAGACTTGTATTTCATAATGACACATTTATTTATTTCAAGAGACTTGTATTTCATAATGACATATTTATTTATTTCAGATGACTCGTATTTCATAATGACACATTTATTTATTTCAAGAGACTTGTATTTCATAATGACACATTTATTTATTTCAAGAGACTTGTATTTCATAATGACACATTTATTTATTTCAAGAGACTCGTATTTCATAATGACATATTTATTTATTTCAGATGACTTGTATTTCATAATGACGCGTTTCTTTATTTCAAGAGACTCGTATTTCATAATGGCTTATTTCATGTGACTTGTATTTCATGATGAGACATTTCCATTCCTTATATGCAAATGAACGGGGCGTGGTTAGCTCACAGGTCCAGAGACCCAGACCAAAGCAACAGCACCACACTGACTACTCGAGAAGAGGAAGAAAATGGAGGAGAAGGACTATAAGGAAAACTACTAAATGAAAATAACAACATGGAAGACGTCGGTGGGCTCCAATATTTAACTGGTTCTTATCTGGTCTTCTCTGGTCTTATCTGGTCCGCCCAATGCTGCTCTTCTGAGAGCAACCGCTCTGACAGCTCTCTCTAGTCTCTACTGGGAAACAGCTAAAAGTCCTTCTGGAGGTAAGCAACGCTACACAATTACACCCAGTCTGAGAGTAAAATATGTCTCGAAGGTTCGTTTTGCTTTCTTACAACGTTAAGTTAATGTTAACGTAACCTTACGTTTGCTAGGAGGCTATCGTTACGAGCTAGCTGTCTTAGCTAACAACAGTTAGCAGCTAACGTTTTCTGCAGTTTGTGTTGCCCCTGAAAAACGTGATGTAGTTATTTAAGGGTATGTTAAATTAACGTTATTTTACAAGTTGAGAGAGTTAAGTTGTGTTTAAAATCGTCAATGTAATGCACGTTAGAAGTTTTGTGTTGGACATGAAGTTAGCTAACGTTAGCTAACTCCACCAGGTTAGCATGTTGAGCTGTACTTTTTGTGGCAGCTAGCTTAATACAAAGAGGGGTTTGTGCTTCATTGCAAACGTTTCTTTGTTAATCTACCTGAAACTGTAGGGACAGTTTGTTTCTACTCAACTATACAGACCATTGTTGAGGAGATGCAAAACATACTGTACATGAGTTGGGTCCAACATATACCTTGAGTAATGTTACTTTGCTGCTAAAAATGAAACATCATTATCAGATGAGGACATCACCAAAGTGTGTGAGCCTGTCAGGGGATTTGATCTGTTCTCTGCATGTCCTAAACACTGCTCTGGTATTACTTATCTTGTAACATGTAAGTCTCCCGCTCTTGTCATCTTTCAGGCTTTGCATTTGAACTCCTATGACTGGTTGCGGACTTGAAGGGAACGCCTTCCTGACATCCAGGAAAAAGGTGAGATTATAATACATTTGAATGCCAAAAGCAAGTTATTGTTTTTAACTTTTGAAATATGATTGTTTTGGGGCATTTCAGTTCTATTGGACAGGCAGTAGAGATCTACTGGAAACAGTGGAGAGGGAGGAGATGATATGCAGCATACGGCCCAGCCGGATGGTTGCTGCTCCGTGTGGAACGTGTCCTATCAGGTAAAGCACTTTGGTACCCAGTTATTTATGGTGTTGAGTTTGAATTTAGCTTTTGGAATGTAATTTCCAACTGTGCATTGTAAAGACTGAAAAAACAGCCTCAGGTTAAAGCTTGACATGATTTGGTCTTTTACTTAAGAAGATGTTTGTCCTCCTGTGTTGTCTTATTTCCTTATCTTTCTTTCAGGTGTAACATCTACCAATGGTTGTACATGACAGAGACCTCCTCCGCCTCTTTGCTGTCTTACTAGTCAATCCTTCTGATCAGGTCCTTTCCTAAATAGTGGTAAGTTTTACAGTTCAGTGTACGTTAATTTAGTAACTTAATAGTTTACCGCTGTTGAATAAATCCTATATTGCTAGTCATTTTATTAAAACTACGATTTGTAAACTTTTTGATTCCAATTACAATAATCTTTTTGTTATAATTGTAAAACATATCTTAACATCCATCAGCAATCAATACAACAAATCATCCAACACTAAATAGAAGAAATCTGGACCTATTTCTTTTTATACAGCAGCATGTTTTGGGACTGCTCATTGATGTCATCAAGAGCCATTGAGGCTGCAGCCACACGAGGACAAAAACGGCCGTTTGCGTTACTGTTTAGTGTCATATAGACCATTCGGCCACACGAGGACGACCGCATACGGCACTAAACGACTGAGGAAACGATAACGGGTCCCAAGGTGGATAGAACGGCATACGCAACGCTCTGGGGGGTCAAACAGCTCCGTGTGTACGCCCTATACGATCATTTTCTGATAATGATTGCGCAATAGCCCCGCCTCTCCCCACCTCTGCTGCTCACCTCCGCGTACCCCGCGCCATTGCTGATGTGTTTCGCCACCAACAACAACAACAATGGCGGATCGCAGAGTTGCTATCGTGCTCCGGACGCTACTGACCATGCTACAGTTCTTTGTGCAACATCTACAGCAGACTTACACATCCGGGGGGGATCTTACTCGCTGCTTTTGTGGATATGTACTGCAGCTTCAGCGATCATTTTCTGATAATGATTGCGCAATAGCCCCGCCTCTCCCCACCTCTGCTGCTCACCCCCGCGTCAAAGTAAACTACACACTGAATTCAGATTATTTATCTTTCTCTCGATATGGACATAAACGCGAGTGAAGTCTAATCTGACAGGACGGAGACACCTCTCAAACTACCTAAACTAGTTATAAATATGTTTATTTTTACTGTCGGCCGGGTCACTCATTACTGGATCAGCTGCTGCATGAAACAGACACTGACGCTGTCCGAAGAGAGGGAGGAAAAAGAGAGGCTCCGTGTATTTTTATTATTATATTATATAGAGTCGTTATTCATTTGTTTTAAAGCTCAATAAATAACAAAGAAGACCTTTGACCGGCACTTTTATAATTTTGTCGGAAGATTTAAACTTTAATACACGTTGACTGGCGAAAAACTCTGCCCGGTTCCCTCGGCCCCCACCGCGGAGAATAAACAGAAGGGCAACCATGACAACCATGCTTCTTCGCTGCTTTTATGGAGGAAGTTACAGCGCCACGTACAGGCTCCTGCATATGTACTGCAGCTTCTCCAGCGGTTGGAGCTAAACGGAGCGGTCTCGTGTGGGCAGACACTATCCGGATAACTATTGCGTGTGGACGGAAGCTTGTTTGCGTTTGCGTTAATCCTATGCGTTTAGCCGTTTTCGTCCTCGTGTGGCCGGGGTCTGAGTCTACCTTTTTGTAGTCGGCCTCTCAGAATGTTTATCATTTATTTGTATTTTAACATTCCTATAATAATTAGTTTTTTTATTGTTTTGTTCTTTATTTTTGTTGTGAGAATCACTTTGCAATTATTGTGTAAGTGCTATATAAATAGTTATACTAATATTATTGTTGTTACTATTATTAATAATGTCTTCTTTGTTTTCTTTATTCATCGCTGCAGAAAGGATCATGCCAGCCCACATCAAACACCTGATCAAGAGCTTGTGAACCTCACTGCTGCAGACACCTGTGTGATATTCCACTCTGACTGGAACCCTCAAAATGACCTGCAGGTACAATATATCTGCTCTGTCCGTCCTAAAGATAGTTCAATAGGGCTACAACAACAACAGTCTTTCCGTTTATTCCCTCGGTTCTTTAAGTGTATATTATTTTCCCATTTAATGCTTAAAAACGTTGCACAGCAGCTGCACATGATGCTCTTTTGACCCCTCTTTTAATTTTTTATTTCAGGCTCAAGCTCGGTTCGTCATCGTTTTAGCCAGTCTAAGGCGGTGGAGGTGTACCGTCTGATCACTAGAAACTATGAGAGGGAAATGCTGGATAAAGCTAGTCTGAAGCTCGGGCTGGACCGTCCCGTCCTGCAGAGCACGAGTGGCAACAACAACGGGGTGAGAAAAGGAAAATCTGTCATATTTCTAGATGCCAAGTCATTTTTGGGTCAGTCGCTGTTGCAGTACGCTTAGTTTATTTTCAAAAAGAGTTTTCTAAATCCACTTGTGTAAATGTCTCTCTGCGTCGCCTTTAGCCGGTCAAGCAGTTCTCCAAGAAGGAGATCGAGGACCTGCTGAGGAAAGGAGCCTACGCCGCCATCATGGACGAGAACGACGAAGGCAATCGCTTCTGCTAGGAGGACAGCGACCAGATCCTGCAGCGAAGAGCCACCATCATCACCATCACCAGGTATGTTCTTAGCAGCACTAGCCACTTGCGCTTTGTGAGACACCAAGTACTTGGTTATTTGAAATGTAATATTGATGATGTAATAATTAAAACTAGGGATGGGTACCGAGCCCCAGTATTAACGGGGCCCCGGGGCTGAATTATTAAAGACCGTGGTACCGTTAACGTCCAACGTTATCGATCTTTTTATCGGTACTGGAGACATTTAAAAAATAGATGTCATATGTATTATATCTACATAAACATTATATCGCAGTCTTACTGCAACTCCGTTTCTAATATGCAATAAGACTACAAAGTGCGTCTATGATTTATTTTCGATCTTTCCAATCCAGACGAGATCTCTCTCCCCTGTCGGTGTGCGAGGGGGTGGGGCAGTTTACACACAGAACCTGCTACATGCATGCAACACACACACACACACACACACGCATACACACACACACACACACACACACAGGCGCACACAAACACATGGCGGAGAGAACTAAGCGCCCCGAGGGTAGTTATGTTACCCGTCTTGAGCATGGATGTTTAATAAGAACTGGATACAGCATCGGAGGAGGGGCCTCGTTCTTTCCTATGAGAGCTGCTCATTGGCGCATGAAGTCAAAATGGCCCAACTTTTGAGAGAGCGAAACGTCACAGATTACCCGTCATGCCTGGCTGTCAGAGCAGAATAACCCGTTTGTGCGCTGACAGAGCATGCGCCCCTTAAGCCCCGCCCCCCGAGCACACACTCTCGGCTCACTAGAAAGAATGGAGAGAGAGAATAAATCTAGATTCGGCTTTTAGTGCATTTTACAACTTTAAGAACTTAATGATTCTAGGGCTATACAATAGTTCATACTGGGTAGTTTATTTAGTTTCAAAAAAATTATCCACCGAGTTACAGATGTCTCTTTCCCAATGTTAGTCAATGGGAAAAAGTATTTCTGGGCCGGTCGACGTCACAGACTGATAAAGAAATTGTAGTACCGCCGTTTGGACACAACGAATATTTTCCTCAGAGTCCGGCACACTTCCTGGGGGCTTGGTCTTGAGGTGGAAAATGCTCGTTGCCAATAGTGCAATAAGAATTTAGCATGTAAGGGCGGTAACACAAGCTATTTGTCTAAACATTTAGCAAAAGTGCTCCATATTCAGACGGAGGAATGCACCGGGTTCGACTGTCTTTCTAGTAGCTCTGTAGCCCCATCCACGAGTAACGTTTCCACGTCAGGTATATATTATGTATGCTAGCAGCAACACACAGAGTTAACTCAATGATACAAACATGGGTTAATGATTAGAGGTAACTGAGTTATTTATTTTGTTAAAGTTACAGCTATTCTGTTTGCAGTTCTATCATCACATAATTGAATAAGAATTGTTAAAACATTGTTGTTTCTTATTTTCAAGATCGCGCGCGAGTTCATCCCTAGCGTCGCATATATATTTAGAAGCAAGCTTGCAGCATTTTTATAAACAGCATTTTGTAAACGGATGAGCTACAAAAATGGCTACGTCTAATAAGAAAAGCACACCGTGGTCGACCGAGGAGGTGACGATGTTCCTACATCTCATTGGGGATGATCAAATCCAGCGGGAGCTCGACGGAACAACTCGAAATGTGAACAAAAACAAAGCCGATCGCCCCGCCTACACTGCGTTGCTACCCCAGGTCCTAAACTGTAATGGAAATGCGCCACGGCCTGGGCCGGCCAGCGAGGCAGCCCGAGGCCTGAGCGAGGACGCTTAGGGACGCTTAAACGGGGCTACCCCGCTGCAGTGGAAACGCGCCATTAGTAAGATAGAAATCAATACGTAATGAATTAAGACCCCACGGTTTGATGATTGATAGGTGCTCTCTTTCATTTTGACACACATCATTTTTTTACAATAAACATGTTAAATGGATATATCCGCCTTCTTTCATTTATCTTTCCATTCCCACAACAATATACATAAATAAATGACATATTTTGGACATAGTTCGAATGGTGATGAATCATGATTAATTAATTTTTAAGCTGTGATTAATCTGATTAAAATTTGTAATCGTTTGACAGCCCTAATTTATTTATTTTTGGATTAGATCATAGATACGTCCATGAGTTAAGAGATGGAATGATATGATGATTCACACTCATGTACAGTAGGTGGCGGTATGCACCTTAAAGTTGTTTGCAATCCGCCAAAAAACCGAGAGAAGAAGAAGTCAACTGGTTTGCCAACGGACAATTTACACCGAAGAAGAAGAAGCGAACATTTCTGGCGGGTGAAATTTAGAGTATCAGATTACATGCGATGTCTGACTCTGAGAATTTAGTAGTTTGCCTTATAGTCCTTCTCCTCCATTTTCTTCCTCTTCTCGAGTAGTCAGTGTGGTGCTGTTGCTTTGGTTTGGGTCTCTGGACCTGTGAACTAACCACGCCCCGTTCATTTGCATATAAGGAATGGAAATGTCTCATGAAATACAAGTCACATGAAATAAGCCATTATGAAATACGAGTCTCTTGAAATAAATAAATGTGTCATTATGAAATACAAGTCATCTGAAATAAATAAATATGTCATTATGAAATACGAGTCTCTTGAAATAAATAAATGTGTCATTATGAAATACGAGTCTCTTGAAATAAATAAATGTGTCATTATGAAATACGAGTCTCTTGAAATAAATAAATGTGTCATTATGAAATACAAGTCTCTTGAAATAAATAAATGTGTCATTATGAAATACAAGTCTCTTGAAATAAATAAATGTGTCATTATGAAATAAAAGTCCCATGAAATAAATAAATGTGTATTTAAATATACATGTATACATATTTATTGCCTAATTTATTTATTTTATAATTTATTTCATAGGCATATTTATATATATATGTATTTATTTAATTATTTATGTATATATTTATTTATTTAATATTGGCTTAAATGGCATTCCATACCCCACGAGCCACTACCACGGAGTAGGGGGCGGGTCGTAACAATAGCACACATTCGATTATATCCATGTTTTCTTTATGCAAAATTATTCATTTGTGATAATATCTATATAAGTGATAATATCTACCTTGCAGGCTCCCTAGGGGAAATTAAAACAAGATTATGTAAAAACTGTACAGTAACTCTTGAAAACAAGTCAAAACTATTATAAATCTATCAAAAGTGTTTTTAAATTTCCTAAATGCTTACTAAATGATCATAAAGTTAGTTTCCATACTAAATTGGCATTACATTATTACCATTTGCTGCCTGGAAGTTCATCAAGTTAGAATGTCTTACAAATGGTTCTAATGTTAAAAAAATGTGGTTCTAATGTCTCTCTTTTCCTCCATACCCAAATCTCTAAAAACGGGGCTGCAACAGAGCTGATTATTATTTGAATGTTTCTGACGTCAGAAAAGGGGTGCTCCGCCTATATGGGCAACTCTCCACCTATCAGGGGAATGAGAGACCGCTCGAAAGCGCTGGAGATGCTGTAGTACATATGCCAGGCCTGTAAGTGGCGCTGTAGTCTGTCACAAAAGCAGAATCAGCCCTTGCAAAAACAGGGCTGGAAAAAGAGCAAATAGAGCGAAATGAGGCATGGCTAAAATGCAGGATCTGTTTGGTATTTTGAAAAAAAAACTTCACAGACATGTTTTATATAGGTATGGCCCTACAATATATTATTCATATATAGCATGATAGGTCCACTTTAAGGAAACATAGTTTGTAGTTAATGGCTAAAACCTCTGCATATGTTCAAATGGAATCATGTTTAAGCAATTTATAAAATAGTTTCTATCTCAATCATAAAACCTTGTTGGGCTTTACATGCACATGAGCTTTGCAGAACGACAGGGTATCTTAGCTCAGAGTGTTTTTGACAGATATCTAGCTAGTCCTCTAGCTGCATGTGACTCAGATTACGGGACGCATGCCATTCCTAATCTTCCTCGACCGGATCAGTTTCAGAGAGTGTGGAGGGCAGCAGAAACAATCCCATGAAAGCCATATGATATCCATCTTGTCTTACTGCAACACAATTCATTTGGGTGTATGTTTGTCAATAGAATAATCATTGTTTTCAGATAATGTAAATATGAATACCAGGTTAAGGGATAGGTTTACTCCTGGGGATGGAAACATTTACACTTAAAAATTGAAAGAACAGTTGTTCAACAGTTTCTTTCTACCAGAAAATACACAAAAAATACATTTGACTTTTCTTCTGAAAGTTTAGTATAAAGGACCGTCTGTATGTAATGTAGAGAAATGTACTTTTGGATAAGTTTCAACACCTGAGAGGGAAGGCTTTCTAGATAAGCCAAGAGAGGCACAAAGGCACTCCTGTTCACCTGGGTTGCTTTGTCATGCCATCCTATCACTATCAGCTGGCAAATATGTAAATGTTCCCATATGTGCTGATGTATTTTGGTCAGGATGTGAAACTGAGATAACATGAATTGTTTTAAACTGACACAATCGGGGTTGATTTGCATGCAAATAACAACACTGGGTGCTAGAAGCTTCTGATTTTTGGTTATCTGTTTAAGTAATGAAGTATTACAGTGCTGCGTGCTGCGTCAATGTGTTTTTCCCTTGTCATAACAAACCTTCAGACTACTAAGAATGTAGTTAGTCATTGACCCCTGTTGACCATTTCCAGTGGAGGGCCATGGATGAATATACAGTGCATCATAATGTTATCTCTATTCTGTAGACACACCTATCAACAAAGTAGCTACCGCCAAAGAAAGACATGGAGAAGCAGAGATTAAAGCAATAAAGTGCTTTGTCCAACTCCATGGAAACATTATCTCTGCAAGTGGCAGTTTGGTTTTTATTGTATCTATTAAAGAGCAACTTTCCAAGCTTGTATTAATGCATTGTTTGAAAGGGATTGTGCAACTGGGTTGAATCATCACTGTTTTTATTGTAAAGTTATTTTAAACCTCTGCCTCAAACCCTATGCCTTAAAACTAAAAGTAAATTAGAATTGTCATAAACAAAATATACATTTACCA